GAAGAACTGCTTGCAGCGGTACAACCAACCTAATGGGTCTCCGGTGCCGTCGTAAGATGGAAATTCAAGCCGGCTGTACTTGGGGACAATTGTAGTCGTCGGTGCAGTGGCTTGATGTTCGTTGGCTGATTCTGTCCCGTCCGTGCGGCGATTGCTGGTAGAGGCTAATCCCTCAGAATTCTTTTCTTTGTTGGAGAGGAACACTTCTAGCAGGCGACGCAACTCCTGAACGTCATCTTTGACTTCTCGGACCTCCATACTGGTCTTTGCGAGCCTATGCTCCAGTTCATGGACTCTGAAAGACARCGGCTCCTGTTCCCCCATGACGGTAGGCTCTGATACCAAGATGTTATGGGCCCGAGCGTAGGATCGCGTCACGGGTCGCTCCACCGCAGGAACCTCAGACCTTTTCTTGCCCTTGGCCTTGCGTACAGGCCCTATTTTGACTAACTCGCGGGTGATTTGTCCAAGAGATCACCTAACTCTCCTTTACTCTCTTTCTTGACTAAATATTCGATATATTCATTCAATAATGGCGTCTCCTTAAATAGGAGATTACAAGAGGAGGGTTCCTTGTTGGATTCGGCTAGGTTAGTCCTAAACGGATTCAAACTCCTACTTCTAATTAGACTACTTACTTTTAATGGTACTACAATTCCTTCTAAGAATAGGGGACAAGATAAGGGAGAATGGGGTAAGGGATAAGGCGCGTTCTCTTGACGTGTCTAGATAAGGGTGGGCCTACCCTATGAACTGTCGCATGGGCCCCGCTCTGCTGCTGCTGCCGGGTGCGTACACGCGGCTCATGGTGCTGCCGCCGCGCGGTGCTGCTACCGCGCCATGTGTGCGTGCGGTGCCGCTGCCGCGCAGTGCGTTTGCGCGGCGCGCGCGCGGCTCATGGTGCCGCTGCCGTGCGGTGCCGGTCGTGTGCGCGCTGCTGCCTCAACTGCTGCCGTGTGGTGCGGGTGCTCATAACATAATTCCTCCAGACTACTCACTTTGTTGCAAAAAATCCTGTTTTTCTTTCAGTCCATAAAGTTTCTAAAATAGCCACAGGAATGGTTCTCCAAATCAGATTACCCTTTTTCTTCAGGCCCGGTAAATTCCAGCAGCATAAGAGATCCTTAATTGAACCAGGCATAACCCAGCAGACCCTAGCTGCTTTAAGAAAGTGCTCCCAAACTCTTATAGAGATCGGACAGTGGATACCAAGGCGATCAGCTGTCTCTGGCAAGAGTCCACATAAGCCACAGCTAAGGTCTGAAAGCTGAGCCCCTCTCCTAACCAAGTTAGCTCTCAACAGGCACTTATTTAGAGTCATCGCCCAAACCAAAAAATTATGCTTAGGTGGACTGACAAAATTCCACACCTGCTTGCTTGGAAAATCAGAATTATTTGCTATACTCAACTTTGAAGCCAAAAATTTAATAGTAAAAACACCATCTCCACTCCATCAGCTGGTTCATCTCCCAATCAAAAAGATTTCGTCTAAAAAGGGGCCACCAGGAGATTGAATCCCCAGTCACATCATAAGAATCAGGAGGTTGAATCCCCAGTCACATCACCAGGAGATTTCTTTCTTTTTCTCTTCTCAGAACCCTTTGATCTTTTAAATTTCAATAGTAAAACATTAAAACAAAGAATAATTATATATATATATATAGCATATTATAAGATCTTTTAACACATACATTAAATACAACAATATAAATGACATTATAAAAGGTGCCTACCTTGTCTTTTTTGTTGCCTAGGCGGGCGCCTTGTCACCTAGTTGCTAAAAGTCAAGGCGTTTGGGCAAGGCACCATGTCACCTAGGTGATACCTTGACAACTATGGCAAACTATGTGAGTCAAGGGAAAGTTGCTGGGAAGACCCATAGCCATTCTCATTGGTTGTGGGTTGACATTGAATTTTATTACTTGCATCTTGGCCAAAAAACTTGGTATGCCACTTCAACAAACTTCTCCATTTTCATTTCATGTAGCAAATGGACATAAAATGACGTGACAATGTGTGCAAAAAGAAATACATAACAATACTAGGCAATAAATTTTGGGTAGACTACACCCCTTGGAATTTTCTAGAGTTGATGTTATACTGGGGGTGCAATGAGACCTTTACACACCCTAGTTTGGGCCCCGAAGTCCTCGGTCCAACCTATATTTATGTACCTAGGCTTGCAGCCCACCTCCCCAATCCTTGATAACCCAAGCATAGCCTCGTTTAACCCAACCCACCAAGAGGCTCTATAGGGACTTCTAGACCAATTTGGAGATGTCTCTGGGGAACCAACCCAACTTCCCCCACATGGGCCCAAGGCCACAGGAGTTAGTGCACCTCCTTTTGACCCACTACAATCTCACTTCCATGCCAGGGTTAGCCACTTAATTCTTTGGGTGACATCTTCCTTGATCTCTGCCTTATTATGAATTATTGAACCAATGTATCGAAAATGATTACATTGAGCTATCTTGTCTGCAATCCTAAGTGTATCCTCATTTAGACTCCTATTATTATTGAATTTACTTTTCATATACTCTATTTTATATCTACATATTTTAAACCTCTTGTTTCTAAGGAACTTGTCCGTAATCTTAATTTTGCATTTAATCCTTCATTAGTTTCATCAGTTAAAACAATGTCATCCACAAACAACATGCACAATGGAACTTCCTCCTACACAAGTTTAGTCAATTCATTTATGATCAGTGCAAATAGATAAGGGCTAAGTGCTGAACCTTGGTGAAAACCCCTCATGATTGTAAAATCTAAAGTCTCTCCAACTGCTCTTCTAATATTGGTTGTTGCCTCCTTGCACATATCCTTAAGTAGGTTCATAATTGTCTTTTATGTTTGTAATCTCTTGGATTTGATCTTTCTAAGTTTTTCCAAAATTGTCTTTTAAAGTTTTATTTTAAATCCACTTTAGGTGCATAAACACTAATTATATTAATGATTTCCTTATCTAAAACAAGTCTAATTAAAATTATTCTATCCCAATTTTTTTTAGCATTTCCAATTTCACTTTTTAAATCCTTATCTACTATTACCACTACACATTTTCTATTATTTACCTTTGTTGTATGCCATAATTTGTAGCCATCAATTTCATTAGCCTTTTAACCCTTCTATTTAGTTTCTTGTAGGTGTGCAATATTAAGCCTTCTCTTCATAATCTTTACTAATTCCATAGTTTTTCTTGTTAATGTTCCTTCCAAGTGGACGGAGTCTTGTTTCTTGGACTAGCTTTACCCACCCCTATCTAGAAGGATGTGGGAGCCCTTTGCCTACTTGACACCACAACTGAGTGTTGCTGTGGTGGGTCACTTACGGGGGTCATCCTAGCAAATTTTTTTCCACTTAACACTACACTTGGGTTAAGGTGTAGTGCATCAATTTTGGACAACGACCTAGCTTGAGCATGAAAAGACAAATCGGGATCTGTATTTATGAAGGCCCGGAAAAAGTTTTAGTGTTGGCTGCCAATCTGATGCAACCCCTCTCCTTTATTTGGGCTTGGGACCAGCAGTCTAAGACAACCTCATGAGCTTAATTCACTATAATTATTACAACTTTGTACGTCAGCTCATATGATGCTCTTTTTCCATTCATTTGACATTTTTTTTTTCTGTTTTCATTATCTTATTAAATAGTTTAGCTATCAATAATAAGCCTACCTCTCATTTTGTTTAATGTCTCCTTTTTACACTTTTATTTGGATACCATCAGGTCCCAATGCCTTTTCCCTCTTCATTTTGTTTAATGTCTCCTTCACTTTAGTATTTATAATTTTATAAAGGTATATGTTGCTTTTAATATTATTGGAGTTATTAATCCCCCCACTAACACCATTCTACATGTTTTTCATTTAATAAATTTTCCATCGTTCATTAACTTTCTGATTTTTTATCAAGCCTTTTGATCTTCCTCTTTAATGCATCTAACTTGTTTTAAATCTTTACTTTTCTTTCATTTTTCTCAGTTTATAAATTCTATTGTTTCCCTCTTTAGTACCTAATTTATGATATAGCTCATCATATGTCTTAAATTTAATTTTACTCATTTTCTTTTTAACTTCTTCACTTATGGTTTTATTTTTATAAATTTTCTACATTTTTAGTTTTTATCCAATCATGATAGCATGGTCATTTTACTTTGATTATATTTTGAAGATCTTCATTCCACCAAGTTTCTTTTATCACTTTGTCATCATTTGGGGCTCCTAGCAATGGGAGGTATTCTTAGGAATGAGGCAGGTCAATTGTTTCATTATTCTTGGATTTAATTGGTTTTGGATATTCGTTGAAGGTTGAGATAATGGCTGCAATGGAGGATGTGCAAAGAGAAGGGGGTATGAATGTGAACAAAATGATTTTTGAAGGAGATTTACAATTGGTGATAGGGTCATTGCAATAAACTCACAGTTGGTGAACATGTATTGTATTGTATTATATTATATTATATGTAAAAACAATATAACATTTGTTATCAAACAAAAAATAATAAGGTGATGTGTCCTTGTAATCAATCATATTTTTTAACATTTGTTTGTTGGTCAAATTATGTTTACTTGTATAATTTTGACAACAAAAGATAGAGTTTTGCTTTTACCTCATCTCTAGAAGCCTCTGGTAGCATCATTTTCATGTGGGAATACACAAAATCATTTTGGTGCTTGTCTTTCCATTTTCACATATTATCACCGCATTTTCATGTTTATTTTAGCTTTTCTATATTCATGTTGTTTTCATAACTTTTCCAATGTTTCCTAAAATTTCACAATGTTTTCTTACTTTTTTATCTATTTTTCTATTGTTTATTATACATTCTTATATTTGATAGATGTTTTGCTGACATTTTTTTTGGGGATTACTTGTGGACATAAATTGAATGCAAAATCTTATTTCTATATTTTGTGTTTATCAACTAACTACTTAGGGATATATTTTGCATAGTTGAAATGCATTCAATTCAAAGTTTGAGGGAAATGATTGTACCGATGGCTTTCTTGCAAGTTTTGCAGTTGTTGCCTCAAGGTTGCTGCCTCCCTTTGCCAGAACTAACATATCAAAAAGAAAACATCATGTCTATGAAACTTAAGATATATTCACCATGGTCAAATAGAGAAAAAAATAGTTATTAATCTAGACATTCCATGAACATATGTGACACTAGATACCATTAAAAGACTATGGTAAAAAATTGTATGTTAAGAATTATGTAAAAATCTTCAGAAACTGGCAATTCTTTTGTGTTTTTTGTTGATGCAAGAATGAGTTTACCCATTTAGCATCCTTATCCTAAAGCTACTCAATGCAATAACAAATAGATGATAGAACCAAGGTTCAAAGTATTGATATTTGATACACCCCAATATGGCAGAAGGAGTGTATTGCTTTTTTCTTTCCTCAAAAAGAGGGCAGGGGGTAGGTTTAAACGTTATTTAATGTTTAAAACCAACAGTCTTGGGAAGAGCCTTAAAAAAGATGTATCAGTCACCTGCCGATGATATGATACACCTCCTGATATGGGGTGTATCATGTCAAAATTTTGAACCTTGGATAGAACATGTATTAGATTATCTATATTTGTTAACTTATGACATCACATATTTTTTTCGTGTATGTTTATTGTCTATGATCATCTCTAATGAGTTGTGTTGGTTTTCTTAATTTGATGCTATCATTTTATGCATATTTTTGTCCTTGCAGGATGTTTAAGTATCTTGAAATCGATCTAATTATTTTTCAGGGCTCCACTTTCGCGGGTGAATTTCAAGGTTTTTAATTTGTGTTTCAATTATGTGGCCAACTGCATCAATACTTCATCCACAGACCACAGTCAATGAGCCAAATATTACATTTACATATTTTTTTGGTATAATGAAGCTTGATTTATACAAAAGAGAGAATAAAAATAGACCTTGGACCGCCTACAAATAGGATTAAAGCCTTTCTTAGCACTCATTAGACACCATCTTACAAATACCTGGGTTTCTAGAATAACATAAATGGATATATTACATTCCATCAAATTAGTTAACTTAAAAAGAGGTGATACCACCAGGCGATCCATTACCTTTAAAAAAACCACTAGGTGATCCACCACTTGGAGATTTAATCATTGAATCAAGGGAGTCCTTATCAGTGGCTTCTAACTTCTTGTTCACTTGGCTCCTTGCTCTGGAATATTTTAGGGTATTCCTTAATAAAGTCTTAGTTTATTATGTGTTTTATGTACAAGGGGTATGTGCTTCTTATTTTTTAAAAAACTTTCTTGCTCATATTAATTGCTTGATAAGGAATTCCCTCTTTTATAATTAAAAAACATTCATTAAAATAGAAATGGAGGATGATAATAAGTTCATTAAAGCCTTTACCCTGCCAACTATGTTTTGAGATATATAGCCTCTTTGGCATCTAGTATTTATTGAACTTTGTATAAAATTTTAACACTACAATAGGCATTTGATCAAGAAATATTCTTACATCTTCAATCAATCCTGGATTTTCTGTATTAGTTTTCCTCCTTTCCCCTGGTGATATTAGTTTCCATTACAAGAGTTAACCACTTAGAACGTTTCTGTTCAGATAATTTTTTCAGGATATGGAAGATGGTTATCTTGTTATGTTTGTGAAAATATGGGTCTAGTACCTTGGATCAATTGTTCATAATGAGGAAGTAATTAAAGATGATGTGCCCAATTGCCCATAGAATTAGAGTAAGGTAGTTAAAGAGGAGAAGTGCATCTGGTGTGTGGTGTGACTAAAATATACCAATAAGGCTAAATGGAAAATTCTATAAAAGACAATTATAGTGCTAGCATTGCTATATGACACAAAGTGTTGAGCAATCAAGAAACATGTTCAAAAAATGAGCATAGTTGAGATGAATGAGTGGCAAAACTAGAAAGGACTGAATTAGACTTGAGAACATTATTAAGGAGTTAGGAGTAGTTGTAATTAATGACAAGATGATGTAAAGTTGATTGAGATGGTCTGGTTATGCACTAGAAGACCAACGGTCGTCCCAATAAAGAGTTACTCAGTCCAAGAAGGCTCTAGAAGAGCAAGAGGAAGCCTATAGGAAATATGGTCTAAAGTAGTAAAAGTTGATTTAAGGACTTGTAATTTGACAGAATATACTTTTATCGAAAAGTGTGATTGCATTGTATGATTTGATAAAAATTGGATCTTGATAGAACAAAATGCCAGGATAGGATCAAAGTCCCATTTGCTTAAGAAAATAGTACTAAGTTTGAGGATCCATCAATCAATTTATTTCAGGGTTGAGGTCTTTTGCTAATTGATGTTTCCTCTAGGCCTTGAAAATAGTACTTAGCCTGCTAATTGATGTCATTCTATCAAATAAATCAGTTGAATTGAGTCAATTGAACTGCCCCACCTCCTCTCCTTGATCATTTCTAGCAGTCAATGCATATTCCTTGTTTTGTTAATAAGGATATATATGAGAAAATTTCATCTTGCTTCATTCGTAGCTTTTTCAGAAGATATTATGGGCACTACCTAGAGGGTCAATGCTTTGATTAAGGGATGAGTAGAAGAAAGGATTTTCTTGTGAAGGTTTAAAGAAGCCACAAGTGAGGAGACACAAACTGATGAACATACAATTTATCTATAATTTATGAGGTCTTTGCATGGATTCTTATGCCGTTTTTATTTAATTTTGCTCTAATTTAGCTTAATACTAAGAAAAGATTTCAGGGGTAATCAATCCAAGAAAAAGAAGGCAAAAGGTAAGAAAAGATGGACCAAAAAGGACCAAATTCAGCCCAGCCCAGTTATGGAAGCAAGAGAGCACACTTCGGCCCAAGAAGTACAAGTTAATTCTTTGAAAAAAAACCCAAGAGAAGAAGCCTAGCAAGGAGTAAATTTCGGCCCAGCAAGAGGAGGCCCATTCTCAGCCCAAAAGTGCAGCCTAGAGTGTAGCTAACATGTTCTAAGAGGGAGCCTAATTGCAGCCCAAATAGCAGCCCAAAGAGCTAGGGGTGGCAACCCTTAGAAGGCTCTTAAGAGAGCACTCTAGAAAGTTCAAGAGGGGGGTGTAATACACCCCATTCTAGAGGCTTCAAGAAGGGGCAAGAACTCCCTTGAAAATCTATATAAGGAGGCCTCTAGAGGGGGGAGAGGTGTTCAATTGCTTGAGATCAAGGCTCTCCCACTCCTTGGGGTTCGAACATCTTGAAGAGAAGAGGAGAAGGAGAAGGGCTAGGCGCAAGAAGGAGAAGGAGAAGGGCTGAAGGAGTTCAAGCTAGCAAGAAGAGAATGTGAGTTCGAAATTGGGGATTTTGATTCAGAGATCTAATGTAATTAATTCTTTTTTAGTTTCAATTTTTCTTTGATTCGAATTCAGCTTCCTTTGATGTAAATTTCTCTCTCTCCCTCTTCCATTCTTTCTTGATGTACTTAAGTTTGTAAAATTTCAGATCAAGCAATCAATTTCTTTTTGTTCATTCGAATGGATGTGATTTTTCTTGAAGTTTATTGAATAGAGGTTAATTGTAGATCAGATCAGCCAATTAATCTTTCAAAACTCAGATCTGAATTCTCAGATCTGAGATTGCAAGATCTGAATTGCTTGAAAGAGAATTCAGATCCGCAATTTTCAGATTGGCCGATTTGATCTAAAGCTTGGAATTCTTAGAGTGTTGAGAAAGACTCCAGGAATTCAGATCTACTATTCAAGAACTGAATTGGATGCAAGGTTAGAGATAACTTGCACAATTCAGTTGGTGATCAATTCGGATTTGAATTGATACCTTAGAAGTGTTTGAAGAAATGCATGCATGAATGATTAGATCCTTGATAGAGATATGGGGATCATCAATCATGCATAGGATGAACATGCACTTGAAAGAGGTTGTTCATGACCTTGGRGTTTCMCCAAACCAAGGCTCAATCATGATCTATTCGAATGATTCAATTTGATTGATTGCTGAATCTGAAGATTGATTTTAATTGCTTACCCTTCTAAYCTGAATTGAAGGCAATTGGGCCAATAATTTAGATAGATTTTAGTTTATGATCTTTAGCTTTTGAATAAAGTTTTGATTTGTTGTTGATCAGATAAGAATTGACCAAATTAGTATTAGTAATTGTTTCCTAATTCCTTGTGGGAACGATACTCTACTCACTACTCTATTACTTGAGCGGCTAGTGCACTTGCTAGTGTCACCAAGACACACCACAAACCTAATTGAAGGACAACGTGGTTGAGTGAAGTGTCTAGGTAGCAGGAGGTTGTGGCTGTTAAATTTAAATTCAAGAACTGACGATGAAAGCTTCGAATCTAGATCAATGATCCAAGGATAACTAGCAATTCTCAATCCATTGGTGGAAGAAACCTGCAGAACAGAGTCAAGAACCATCTTGTAAGTGAAAGGTATGACAAGTTTGTTGGACAGTTCGGAGGTTGTGTTATATCTGTTACTGAAACATACGATGACTTCATACCAGAGTTAAACTTGTAGTGAAGAAGAGTGTGTTCCATTTTTACATTTTGGTATCACATAGCACATTACTGGGGGACTCATGGGGTAGGGGCAGAGCAGGGTGCACAGGAGGTCCACTGATCTCACCATGGAGAGCCTGCAGTTATGTGGGTTTGATCCAGGGCCTCCACTTTAGGAGGGATGCCAAGTGACCATCCCAACCACTGGGTCATTGGGATGAGTGTGTCTGAATCTGTCATTGTATACTAGGTGATCTTGTTAGATTTTCCCAATTATTACATCAATATTGGTTGAGGATGAGGATTGTGAGAAAAAGAGCCATATGTCTTGTCAAGTTATATTGTTCTTCTGGATCTTATAAATAAGTTCTTTCAAGAACCAGGCTTCCATAAATCCTGTTGCCCCTAGATGGCCCTTAATTGTTGCCAGTTGTGTTGAACTCATATGACCGTTATCATCAGAACTGAGCTCTTAACAAAGATCTGCCATTACATTACTTGCATTAGTCTTCTATATCTGGCTTGGAGAAATAAATGGTGATTGTCTACTTTCCTGCTGGGTTTTTTTTCTTTTTTCTTTTTAACTGAGCAATGCTGGAGTCCTGACATTGAAAGGCTTCTCCTTTCTTCTAATCTACTTTTCAGCCTAGAACATTAGATTGTCTAAGGAACTACATCTTTGTTGCTGCAACTTCACTGAAGTGACATTACATTGCCTAAATGCAGCTCAGCTAGATGGCTCAATTGCAGTTTGTTTGGCAGACTCCATGCTCTAAATTATGCCTGTTAAGGGCAAGAATAACCAGAAATGATCCAAAATACTTATAAATTACATTTTTTTTTGGCTTTGGACTTGGGTCTTATCAAGTACTGGCCTGATCTCACTCTACCAGTATCTACTTGCCAGTCCTCTTTGATAGTTTGGTTAATAACTGATACCGTCTTAGTAGTAATCTGTTGCATGCCTGGTCTTTTGCGTAAAAGAGAGGGATCTTCCTACTAGCATATTCTCCATAATAAGGTCAGTAACAAGAAATATTTTCTGGGTTGCCTTCAATACAAACAAGGAAACAAGGAAAGAACCCATGGATAAAGAAACCATTTTTCTTTCTGATACCTACACCAATGGCATTTTCTTTTAATCTTTGAGTGTTTTCATTGCTGGTCAATTTGAACTTTTAAGTGTCATTTTTCTAGTTTGTCAAGTATCTGAGAAATAGGGTTAACTATCTCAACGGGTCAATCTAGGAAACTTATTAAAACATTGGTCAGCGCCTAGGCACCTGTTAGTCATTGCATCAGCTAGAGAGGCCTAAACAACTACTCATTGCTTTACCGTATTAATAACACTGCTATTGATAGTTGTTGGGACTAGGGAATTGGGTAGGATAGGTTGAATATGTAAGCCCATCTATATAGCTTTCTATCTGTAATTGAAGCACAATAATATAACACGGACAAGTACTCCTAGCAAATACCAGAGCATTCACTTGTAATTATGATGGGGGGGATGCGTAAGAGGTTTTCTCTCTTAGTGTGGCATATTTCACTTCAGTTGTGCAGGGAATGCAGCAATTCTAGGAACTAAAGGATAGCATCCAATGTTTTAATGTCATATTTTGTTATCAAGTTGCTAGTTGCTGAATGATGGCAGCTAGGTTTTTGGAATTTTAACTGTTAAAAATCTGGTGTCAAGCCTTGCTAGACAAGAAATTTAAAATTTGAGTAAACGACCCAACTAAAGTTAGGATTACCTGTCCAAAAATTTAAAGGTAAAAAAGCTCAAGAAGAAAAATAGTTCAGGATCTAAATTATACATGAAATATGTTATTTATCATGTTAGGAAAAGTGATATGTTACAGTTGAAGAGGGCTAGAAGAGTGAGGGGCAGACCAAAAAGGACTTCAGTGGAAGTAATAAGAAAGAATTTAAGCACCCATAATTTGATGACGGATATGGCACTTAACAGAACAGAATGGAGAAACAGGATGCATGTGGCTGATCCCATATAGTTGGGAGAAGGCTTAGATGATGATGATGATGATCTAAATTATACATGGTAAAGAACCAAGGTACCAGAAAAGGTCACATTACGTTCTCTTGATCTCCAATCCAAAGTGTATCCTCATTTTCACTCCTATTATTATTAAATTTGCATTTCATATAATCTCCAATCCTAAGCTCATAGTTATGGTTCATATGCCTGGATTTTAGAATTGCCCATTTTACAGGTCCATTGGCAACCTTTTAGTCCTCCAATTGGGTAAAGTCATTTCTTTTGTATACTTCTATCATTGCAGGAACTGCCAGAAGAACAGAAAATGGAAAATGATTGTTGAATGAGTACCTTGATTTCTGAGGTTGGATTCAGTAGTTGATGATGCTCCTCCTTTGTTTTGTTGTATCGTTCAATCACTGATTTCATGCTGATAACAGTGGAGGTAACAACTCCATGAGCTTAATGATTTATGATAACAGGTAATGACATCGCAATGAAGAAGACAAATGTAAAGAAAAGATATTAAACCATGGTAATGTAATACCTTTGTTAAGTTCTTTCTATTCAAATATTCTACACTTAATTAATTTATTTTTTTCAACTCCCATCTGAGGAACACTGGTCTACAAAATTAGTTTCATGATACATGTTTCTTCATGCAAGGGGACAATTACCTTTCTTGATAAAGAAAGGTAAATCATAGCTATTTCCTTTAACTTCAAATAACTTTAATTATTTTCCATTCAAACATTACAGCATAAGTTCTCTATGCAGGATGTGCTGATACTTAAATAAAACAGTACTTGATTGACATAAATTAGAGGTTTCACAGGATCACTTTAGGGTTGGAGTCTTGGAGATTGTGTAAAATAGGAAAAGTTCACCCATCAGAATCACAGGTCTTTGTGATGACACTATTTTTTTTTTCTGTAATAATCAATTAAATGGTTTGAAGAACAAATTTCAGAAAAAAACCCTTGTTGTCCGCTCTCAAGAGAGTAACAGCACATAAAACATACACATTAACTTGTAATAATAAACTCCGTTCTTATATTAATGGACTAATGAATATTTATAGATTCATAACTTCCTCCTAATTAACTAAGACTCCTAGTATGAATGTAATAGAACTTATATTAGTGCAAATGAATTTGCCAAAGAGGCAGATTCCATAAAGTAATAGCACTTAAGAATTGCCTGATAAAATCATCTTGGGATTTCTTCTTTATTGAGTTGATTTCTTTCAATTTTGGTATTGGGGGGGTGGGGGGGTAATGAGGCATTTCTACAGGTACAGCGTGTTGTTTTATGACACAATTAATTGCTAGTAGTAAAGCCTATATGATTGTTGAAATCATGTTTTAATGGTCCATGTATGTCTTACATTTCAATATTCTCATGGATCTTTGATGATTTAATATTTTTTTGAAATTGCTGCTGAACTTGAACGCAATATCTGTTCCATATCCTCAAGATTGATCTCCAAATGCATTATAGGCCTTAAAAATGTGGATAAAGCTCTCCACATTGTCATTTTTTTCTGATTTAACCATATGTGTTTCTATGTAAGCTATGAGTTCCCTGTATATATTTCTTTTGTTGTTTTCTATGTAATCAATCTAGTGAGTGGCTTGGGTCTTGGATTTATGCTTTTGTATGGGGGTATTTCTTCAAGGAATGATGTTGGAGCCAAGTGCTTAGATATGTTTTTCCTTTTAATTTTATGTTTTTTTAGACAGTAGGGAATTTTTTGTCCTTTTACATAACTTCTTTTAGGTCCAGCTGTGGTAGTAAATGTGTCACCTAGGTGACAAGGTGCCTAGGCTGAATGCCATGATTTGAATCAGAAAGGTGCTGTCTAGGCAACTAGATGCCTACCTAGGCAACAAAAAAAAAAAAAAAAAAAAAAACGAAAATGAATGGCTCATTGTAATATTATCAATATTGGCTGCACCTTATTAGTATGTGTATTTGTTTATCTTATCATATATTGCTTATATTTTATTTTAAGGCTTTACTCAAATCAAATGAACCTTAACCCAAATTATTTGGGGTTGGCTACATTAATTCTGTCTCCTCATTATTCTCTACCAAGAGCCAGTTTTCTGTCAAATTATAAGTTTTCAGGTCATTTTCTACCACTTCAAACAAAGTTCGATTTTTCCCTTGCTCTTTTAGGTCCTTTACTTGGCCAATTGATTCTTCAATGATGCAGTCATTGATCATCAATACACTGGACAGAAACAATTTTGGTTTCTCTCCCTTATCTTGTCAATAATTGGAGCTGTTCCCAAGTCCTCTTAATACATTCATTTTTTGAACACATTGTTTCCTGATTTAAGGGTTTTGAGAAAGGGGAAAATAATTTTCTTATTTTTACTGAAATTAATCTTTCTCTTGAATATTTTATCAATATAAATTATTTTGTTCTTTAGGCTCAGTTTAGAAGGAGTACAAATAGAAATATGTACAGGGCAAATGCATACAAAATACAAGGTTTTGTACTCTACATATTTGTATTTGTACTCCTTCCAAACTGAGCCTTAGGTTCAGTTTGGAGAGAGTACAAATACAAAAATGTAAAAAATAATACAAAATACAAGGTTTTGCACTCTACATATTTGTATTTGCACTCTTTCCACACTGAGCCTTAGCTGCTAATGATATTTTGACCTGCAACTTTTCTTTTAAATACCAATTATATATAATATTGTGTTCTAATTACTGAAAGTAATAGATTTAAAATGCTTATTTCTTTTTTCCTTTGTAAATTATGTCTAGTTCTAATGAATAAATGAATTTCATTGCATATTTAAAAAAGATTTCTTTTAGATATGATGATTTTCCATGTATTGGAATGAAATTCAGTGTGATAGTAAAAACCATTATTGTTTCTTCAATTTATATGCATGTTGTTTGATATACAAGTCCAGGGAACTGACCTAGAATTTAGCCTTCAGATTCATAGTTGTTATAAATCCATGGAACTGACCTAAGGAGTTTCTGTTTTCTGAATTATTAGTTTTTTAGGAGTTTAGTTGGCCTATGTGGTCTATATAAGATTATGCCATTATGGAGGAATCAGATAGTAACCCATTCAAGTTAGTGAGTGATTCCTGTGACCTAGTGTCAGTCTAGGGCTCATCGTGCTATTCCAGGTTTTCTTTCTCATCGATCTTTTTCTCCTCTCTAATATCCTTTGCAACCACCATGAATCATCAATTTCTAGAGCAAACATGTTCAATCAGAAATTTTAAGTGCATGAATCAATGCAGATCAGTTCTTGTAGTTAAATGTTCAAACCCTTAGCCATTCACTAATTTTTCTACTGAGGGGAACTCTTTTCTTTCATTGTCACTTATAGTTTCACTGAAAACTTAACCTAGTCCATCTGTCTGCCATCTTTTAGCCACATCAACAAGCCTTGGAAACAGTTTTGCAAGGAGCTTTCATGGCAATACATGGAACTAAGAGTGGCAAATGGGTGGGTTGGGTTGGATTGGGTGCGGGTTGAGTACCAACCCACCCATATTTACCCATAATGTATTTGCCGCCCATATTTAAGTAGGTTAGTGGGTCACAGCCCACCTTGACCCTGACCCACCCTAATCCACCCATATGACCCACTAAACTTACTATATATTTACAAAATTGCTCTTCGTATATATAATCCATAAGCTTTCTAATTTAACTTAATTCCAGGCACTGTTCATTGTTTTCTTAATTCAAAGACTGAACTCACAGTGGTGGAATTCCTCCATCCCACCTCCTCTCTCTCTCTCTCTCTATCTTTCTCTTTCTTCTTTTTCTTATTGTCCTTCCTTTCTCTTCTCTTCTTCATTCCTCTCCTCCATTCTCCTTTCCACCATTTCTACTGAACCTGTGCAGACCATCCTCTATCCCATCCCCTCTCTCTCTTTCTCCCCTTTATATTATTTTTCTCCTTATTCTATTCCTATTCTCTCCACTACTCCGATCTCCAACCTATTTCTCCCCTTGTCCACTGCACACGAATCAGTCAAGTAGCCAAAGATTTTGAAAGTTGCAGACTGGTATCCTCTTGAATGTGATCATCAAAACTCTTATGGGCAATGACTGACTCTTTCCATCCAATCTTTGTATTCTAGATCTACAAAGTTAAGTACGTAGTTAGGCTGATAGAGCAGGTAGCTCCTTGCAATGCTAGTCAAATCATCACCCAGTCTACTCCCAGCTTCAGCTGTGGGTCATCTCTTCTGCATTCAGTCACCCCAGCTGTGCTTCATCTGTCCTGGGTTTTCCCGTTCAATCAAACCCAGCTCATGTTTCAGACTAACAATGACCTCTGTTTCTGTCTCTGCTCAAATAACCAGAACTGTGGATTCTATTAGGGCTCGAATGGTAGAAGATAGGTGAATGTGAGAGAGATAAAAAATGAAAGGTAGCGGCAGCGACTGGTTCCCGTTTCAGTTTCAGATCCAGTAGTGGTGTGGTGAAGTTAGAAATGAACATGTTATGACCCAATGGCTACCCTTGACCCAACTGACCCTGACCCTTTTCCCCTGACCCAAATCGGTTACTCAACCCATGATCCTCTGTTCAAATGGGTGGGTAAAATGAGTTCGGTCAGACTTTCCATCCCTACGTGGAACGAAGAAGAGATCATAGTGAATATTTCAATTAAAGTGGTACGCTGGGTCAAAATATGAGAGGAGTTTGCTCCCTTCTCAACAGATTATGTACTAATGGGTCAGCAGCGGGTGGCATCACCTTCTGCAACCTGTATTTTCACCAGTGTAACCCTGGAATGTCTGGATTTGGAGGAGTATTTAAGGACAGCTTGGTATATTCATGCATGAATCAGGCCCTACAGGATGGGGGAATTCACTAGAGCAGAAGTGTTAGCAGCGTTTAAGGCCTAAATGTGGCCACAATCTGTGAATTTAGGAATTTATTGGTAGAAGGGGATACAAGGGTGGTGGTGGGTTGGCTAAGGAAGTAAGGGGTGAAAGTATTGGCTTGTGGACCACATGAACGCATTAAGGGTTCATACTTGATAGAACTCGATTAGTTTGAAAATTATTGACAGACACAGGCAGCTGAGTCAGGGCTATTTATTGATGTGCATGGATACAAAATGTTGTACATAATTATTTTAACATTTAATTAATATTTACTGTTAACAATTAAAAAAAAGCCTGGGAAACAGTTCCTGACAAGCTTAAACCTAGTTACCAAAATTTATCCCTATTTTTTTACAACATATTTTTTGTTCTTTTGTTCTGAATCTTATAAAAAAAACTCTTCACAATAAATTTTCCCTTTACAGTGTTGTTCTAAATACCTTAGGCTGCATTTGTTTGAGGTGTAAATTCAAATTTTACACCAGGGAAAAATGTGTACCGGTTTAGTGATGGATGGAAATTAGGACCGGATGATTTTGAAAAT